TGTATGGATACGCTCGAACAAGAGGCCGACCCTTCGGTTTGCTCATCAATAACATCGCAGCCAGCATCACTTCAATTCCCCTTGAATGCCGAGATTTTCCAATTCATCCGAACTCAAATCTATTGCAATGACATTCATCCGGTGGTTCGTAAGGCAGGCATCTCTCGTCACCAGACCGGCTCACTTGTTTTCCCATGATAGTCGAGAACAGGTCATTCTTCATGCCTGCTTTAGAACCCCAAAATTGTATATGTAGCTTTTTGAACTTTCTTCCTCCTAATCGCACCACACCCTAAAAAGAGAGAAAAACCATATACGCAGGGTGCCCTTTCAAGGTCTGGCCCAGATTGCAAACCTTCTCTACCTTTTCCCCCTTCCTGCTGGGTTTTCTTTTCCCCCTTTTTTTCCCCCGGCTACACATAAATGTCATCCGACTTTGCTAGTCTTTTTCATATTCTTCTCATCAAAGGAAGTCAATTCCATTTTCTCCTTTCCAGCAGCATGTCCCTGGCTGGATCTCTTATGAGTCAACGCCTCAACGAAGAGGAGGAAGCCAACGATGAAGAGGATGAAATTGGAGAGACCGAGAACCGGCATGATAATATCAACGCGGGACATCCAACCCCTCCTAGGTGGTGGGAGTTGCCCGCAGAGACTTGGATGCCCGCGGAGGCTTGGATGCCCGCGGTATTAGCCACATGGCATGGGTACATCCGAAGAGAGAAATGCGACATCTGTATGGACGAGTACCCGCAGACCAACCTTTCCCAGACCACCTGTAACCACAAGTACTGCCCAGGCTGTCTCATCAATTTCTTCGAAGCTTCCATTACCGACGAGAGCCTTTTCCCTCCAAAATGCTGTGGAAACGCGTTTCCTGTCGAAGAGCACGCCCTTGGCAATGAGCTCGTGGAAAGATGGCGTGTGAAGGAGGTTGAATACACCACACCCAACCGAACGTATTGTCAGGTCTCTACCTGCTCTGCGTTCATTCCTCCAAGCAGTATCAGTGGGGACGTCGGTATTTGTCCAGTATGCTGGCACAGCACTTGCACTCACCGCAAAGGCCCAGAACACCCCAGCTACGCCTGCGAGCAAGACCAGGCAACCCAAGAAGTCCTTCGTATCGCTACCGAGAACAACTGGCAGAGATGCCCCCGCTGTCAGTCTATTATCGAGCTGAACCGGGGATGCTACCACATCAGTAAGGCACCCATCTGATCGTACCCAACTCCAGATTCGCTAATAAAACCTCACAACAGCTTGCCGCTGCCGCAAACAGTTCTGCTACCTATGTCTCGCGAAGTGGAAGGCATGCGATTGCCCCCGATGGAGTGAAGGCCGCCTGCTCGCCGCGGGCGAGGGACGAGTCGGCCGCGTGGCCTATAGAGGGAATTACAACGCTGTTCAAGAGAACTATAACGCCTATCGAGGGGACTGGTGGAACGCCTATGTAAGGTAGAGAACTACAACGCTTACGCCGCACAGCGCCGTGCTGCCGTCGAACGTGCGCGAGAAGAGATCAGAGAAAACCATGACTGCGATCACGATCATTGGAGATACCACCATGCCTGGACCAATCGGCAACATCCATGCGACGGCTATGGTCAGATCATGCCCGACTTCATCTACGAGACCTTGAACGCTGAGTCCCCAGCGAAACTACCGGAGCGTAGCTCTCCTATCTGCCCTCCTAAATGCCCTGCCCTCCTAACTGCCCTATTCATCATTAGTTTGTCCGGCCAGAATTTTGCCGTTGTCCTCATCCCCGGTGAAGTTCAGACGAGAGGTATCAGTCCATTTTTACTGGCTCGGTCAGTTGTCAAGACAACTTCTCTCCTGAGGCGCGGATAGATTTCCCGTTCATAAGCCTTGTCCAGGTGTGTGCCTCGACGTACTCAGGAAAGTTCCGATTTGTCCACGTCATCTGAAAGCAACCAAAGACTGAAGTTTCTTGGGATTTGGGTTGGAGTGAATGATGTAATCCTGCCATCGCCGGGGGTGCGCCTGGAAGCTTGCGCATTGGCTGGCTGCTATTCCCACATGTAATTCGTCCATTCCGACGCAGGAGGCCGTCTGCATCTGGAAGTCAAAGACCAAGCCGTCAGCAACCCAACAGAAAAGCATCGAGCTTCAGATGTCGGCCCCGGAGGATGTATTATTTTATTTTAGCTGTTCCCCGCCTTCACTTCCGCCTGACCTGCACCGTTATGTTCGGCTGCGTTCTTGTGAACAGTCACAGGCTTCACAGCTGCAATGATTCACCACCATCTTGCACTTAACTTCCAACTCCGATACTTCCTTGCTTAAGTGGATTTTGTCTGCACTTCTTCTTGAGACCCATGAGCTTTCACCGGCAGTAGAGGCTCATTTCACTGTTTCGATCTAAATCGACATCTCATCCGTCTCCTGTCGGGACTCGAATGTCTTTTGATGAATCCTACTCCCATCCACCTCGAACCCTCACTAATCAGCTCTACTCATCTCATCTAATTGGTTCAAGATGCTTTGTCACGACATCGACGAGGAGACCCTGCACCTGGTCATCCAGATGCAGCTCGAAGATCTAGAACATATGAAGAATTGCAGAAAGGGCAAGCAGAAAGAAGGTAGTCTTCCTGACTCGGAATTTGCTTTCGAAACCTACCAGTCTGAGCTCAAGACATGTGAGCAACGAGTATCGGACAGGACCATGAGCCGGAGCATCCAAAAGGCCACCCGTACAGATGGTAAAATTGTGACAGTATACGCTGCACAGGAGAGGCAAGCTGAGCGCGACAGAGAGATGGCATTCCGCCTTAGCCGCGGCGAGACGGTCAACCAGAGCTCCTTTCAGACTTCTGCTAATTCAAGGACCGCTTCCCCAGACCAAGATGTGTGCGACTTAGACGCCGACATGCTTCGTAAGCTTCAGAAGCTCTATGTGTCTGCAGACACCGACGATGACGAGACTCTAGACCAGCCAGAGTCCTCCTCCTGGGCAGCTTCGCGAAGCGACATGAATGACACCGCGAAGCCCGTCAAGGTAGCGAAAGAACCCTGCATCAGTTGCCAGGACAGGTTCTCCGTCGATAGATTGACCCGCTGTCCTTGTAGCCATCTTTACTGCCATGACTGCCTCCGAAGTCTCTTCGAAGCATGCCTCACAGACGAATCTCTTTTCCCGGCACGATGTTGCGGTCAGCAAATACCCGTTGACGACCATCGCCCCGTCCTCGGTTCCAAACTCGTGGGCCAGTTCCGCGCTAAGGAGGTCGAGTTCTCAACCCAGAACCGCACGTACTGCCACCAACCCACCTGTTCAACTTTCGTGCCCGTGGAGTTTATTAAGAACGATATAGCGACGTGTCCGCGATGTGTTCATAAAACATGCGCCATATGCAAAGGCGTAGACCACCAGGGCGAAGACTGTAGCCAAGACACCGCTACGCAGTTTCTGCTACAACTCGCCGCTGAGAACGGATGGCAGCGATGCTTCTCTTGCCGACGTGTTGTGGAGCTCGAGCATGGTTGCAATCATATGAGTGAGCTTCCCATCATACCTGTCTCTACCGAGAATTCGGCTAAAGCGTCCTTGAGCCTGTCACTGCGGTGCCCAGTTCTGCTATACATGCGGCCTGAAGTGGAAGACATGTGTATGCGAGCAGTGGAACGAAGAACGACTTTACGCTCGCGCTAATGCCATCATCAACAGAAATGCTGACGCTCGGCATTTCGACGCTGAGAGGAGGGCACGGATGGTTGAAAGGGAGGCACAGAATCTGGTCCAGAACCATGAATGCACCCATCAGGCCTGGAGATATCGCAGCGGTGTCTTCAATTGCGAGGAATGCCACGACACTCTGCCTCGATTCATCTACGAATGCGAGCGGTGTCGAATTCGTGCTTGTCGGAGGTGCCGCTTCAATCGCTTTTAACAAGAACCCCTTCCTCCTGGCGTTCATCATATATTAAAACAGTTCGACGATAGAGCCAAACTTGTGGGATTTAACATTGATTGTTGCTCTGGAGCAAAGGGTATCAGCACTGCTGGAATCGGAAAACCAGACGGATTTTCACAATGGGGTACACTTAGACTGCTGCAGAGGGTGATGAGATGAAGGATAGAGAGCAAACTGACTTGGCCAAGCTGGGGACAAAAGGAACCATCATGCACGTAGACTGAGAACAAAACCTTGACTGCGGTCACAACTATTGGAGGAGAAGCAAGAAGGTGGTCTGTTGTTTAATTTTACGGAACGTCCCGTACTGTAGGCGAGATCGTCTACGTGGCTGCCAGCTTAATCAGAATTGGCATAGAATGAAGTCGCACGCGAGGATTTATTTGGTTGGTCAAGATATAGATGATTGGTACGTTAAAGACCACCTGTTTTTCCTATGCTGAAGCGACTACTTTTCCTGTGGTAATGCACTTTACCTTACTATCGAGTCTATCATCGGCATAGTATATTGTCGTTTGCCGTCGTCGTCGCGACTGTCGTTGCCGTACTACTACTAATATTTACTACTTTCACCGCCGTGTTTAAGAGGAGTAATTAACTATACAGGAAACATTGCCGTATAGACAAAGGAAAATTGGGCGGTCTCATGTAAATGACCGATCTCTGTTTCAGAAAGTGCTCTCAAGATGAGACTTTGTCGTTTGCTAGCTACTTAAGCTTCCAAGATGGAATATTTTCGAATTACTCAAGAGTCCAAGATGGACGACTGCTCTCCAACGGCCCACCCAATGCTAGTAACCTTTGAATCCCCGTAATCTCGTACAATGCCAATAGTGCTCTCCCTTCCTTCTCATCAGGTGAATCGGTTGAACCTGCATCTCGCACAAGATGGCAGAAGACAGTCGTCGCATCGAAAGATGAACTCGCTCAGCCTGTCATTGCACCCCTCACAAGTATGCTCACCATAAATCTTGGTCCAACGACCATCATGCTCGCATGCATGGTTCCGTATGGCGTTTCGCCGGGCTCGAGTCAAAGCAGCAGCGCGCTGCTGGGGGGTCATGTTCCGGGCGTTCGGCGCTCTGTTGACTCGTTGTTCGGCGGCAGCGAAAAGCCTCGGCTCGTCCCATTGGCGACAAGTGCAGGTCTTCCAAGGTGCTTCGCAGAGATAACAAAACTGTCCTCCACAACGGCAAGCTAAAGATCGTGTGATTAGCGGGGACCTTGGATGTGCATGTATCTTCGGAGTAAACTCACTCATGTGGTAGCAGCCCACGTTCAGTTCAACGATTGCCCGGCACTTGTTGCATCTTGGCCACTTCTTCTCAGCAGCCAGCTTCAGAACTTCTTGCGTCGCCGTATCTTCCTTGCATACGTCGTCGTGGTCGTGCTCCATGCTCTTGCACAACACGCACGTCTTTGCTTGACAGGCAGAACAGGTGGCGATGTCTCCTTCAATGCTAGTAGGAGGGATGAACGCCGAGCACTGAGGCTGGTGACAGTAGGTTCTGTTGACTGTCGAAAACTCGATCTCCTTGGCGACGAATTCCTGCATGAGCTGCTTGGGTATGGCGTGCTGTACCTGATCCACGGGGATGGGTTTTCGGCAGCATCGGGGCGGAAAAAGACTCTCATCTACCAGAGACAGCTGAAATAGTTTCTGCAAACAAGTCGCGCAGTAAAGGTGGCCACATGAAGCGAGGTAAAAGTTGCTCGGGTCATACTCCTTGGTGCAAGAAATGCAGGACAGGGTCTCCGGCTGGTCTGGACTTTTTGACCTTGTGCGCTTCGAAGTTTCTCTAGACGCACCCCAGGAGGAAGACTCGGGCATGTCAACGATAGAATCATTGCCGGAAATGTTGGTGTTGCAGACTTTCTGGACAGCATCTGCGACGAGGATCTCCTCGGCGACGATCTCATCGGCGATGATCTCATCGGCGACGATCTCATCCGCGATGATCTCCTCGGCACCGGAGCTCTCAGCTGGCTGCGAAGTACTTAGGTTGCTTGTTTCCGGTAGTGCCTGCTGCTCTGTCGGAGCTGTGATGGTTGTAACTCTTGGGTGGGTGCCTTCCTGGTGAGCGATACGTCTACTCAAGGCGCGGTCCGCGGCGAAGGTCCGGAAGGACGCAAGCTCGGCTTGGTACGTGTCGAAAGCCACGTCTGCGTCAGACCGATCGGTTTCTTTAGCTTTGCCCTTGCTTTGGTCCTGCAGTTCTCTGATGTCTTCCTGTTGCATCTGGACAACCAGCTGCAGCGTCGCTTCGTCCATGTCATCGAGGAAGGCAGACATGATGGCTTTTGGTGATGAGAAAGGTGTGCCAGAAGAAAAGCTTGAAATCTTGGAAGGTTGCGTCGCTGCTTTCTGCATGACGGTCAGTTTTGCGCCAAGGCACTCGAAGGTGAAAGTATTTCCAGCAAGCCCTTTAAACTTGAAAGATAGGACAGCGCCAGGATGAAGAGAGAGAGGGCGGGCGGGGGGTAGAGATAGAGAGAGGCAGAGGAGCAAATAATCCCCCCGGAGATTGCAATTTACCTTTCATAGAAAAAGGTCGATAGAGGTTGAAGAAGAGGAAAGGCTGGTACGATAGTGATCGTCGAAAAGCGAAGGGAAGGTGGGTTGCAAAGGCGGCCGCGACGATGTAGAAAGAAAAGATGGAAGGCGTGGAGAGAGAGGTGAAAATTGGGTGTACAGTTGAAGTCAAGTGATCTGGCCTGCAAGAGAAAATTCTAAAGAGCTTCGGAAGTGTGTGGAAGGAGCAGCTACTTGACACCATATGGGAGGAAGGAGCGTGTAGACTTGAATGAGGACGACAACGACAACAGACAATACCAACGAAAGCCAAAAATGAATGACAGCAGGCGATAACGATAGTGCTTTAATATAGAGTGCATGTAAACTGACGGGAAGAGTGATTGCTTTGGCATAAGAAAAATACGCGGTATTATTTAAAAAGCCTAAATAGGTAGCAAAAAACAAAGTCTCAGCTTCAAAGAGTTCCTGAACAAGGAGCAATCGCGTCAATGACAGACACGTCGTTGCACAGCGCTTTGTCAAGATATATCACGAGAGCAGCAAAAATGCAAAAGGTGATGCGGCCAGTGTGGATTGAACACACGACCTTCAGATTAAGTGATTGAAGTTGACTTCAGTCTGACGCTCTCCCAACTGAGCTATGTCCGCCGCATTTGATTGGTGACAGCTTAGGTGCGTATCCCAGCCTATGTAGCGCGCCTGTGTGGAGCACCCATACACACGATACATCGACCACACCTCTCTCTCATATCCGCTCGCCAACCCAAGCCAGTTTTGCATCGTCGAAATCTCACGCTCAATTGTCGTTGCTATGTTCTAAACTTGCCGTTTCCTTTTTCAACTCCCTTCAATCGCTCATTTCCCCTCACAACAAAATCGCTTCACGAAAGCCACCCAGCATAAACCCCCAGCTCCTCCCTCCTCGCACCCTCCATCTCCCCCAAAACGCCCAACAACTTCACCCTCGCCCCCTTCTCCCGGCTCCATCCCTCCAGGAACTTCTCAACCCTCTTCCTCGTCTCCTCATCATCCCTCATCACCAGCGCCAGCGCGTCAAACCCGCCCGCGCCAGGCACAACACCCCCAAGCACGCCCTCCACGCCGCTCACCGCGTCCAGCAGCTCCGTCTGGCTCGGCGGCTCAATCGGCACCCCGCTGCCCTCGCCCATCTTCCTAATCAGCGCCCTCACCGCGCCGACCGCCGCGCCAACCTGCTCGGTCCGTCCATCCTTCAGCACCGCCGCCAGCGCCTCATTCCGGCTCTGCAACTCGTCCCACAGTGCCTTGCTGCCCGCCGCGTCCTCCTTGCGCCACGCGAGCACCTTCTTCACCATGCCCACCGTCTGGCTGCCGCAGTCCACGTCGCACATGCGCAGACACAAGCCCGGCGCCAGGCTGACGCTCTTGTCGACCTCGACGTCCCAGCCCTGGAACTCGTCCACCTTGCGCACCAGCGCCTCCGCGAACCCGGGCTGCCCCGGCGCGCCGAGCCCGTCGAGCAGGGACGGCGAGAAGCGGCGGTACCGGCAGCTGCCGAAGACCGCGGCCGCGACGTCGAAGCCGCTGCCGACCTTGCCCTGGGCGGCGCAGTGCGCGGCCTGCGCGAGGTTGTGCAGCGTGTGCTTGCCGGCCTCGGAGGCGAGGTTGAAGAGGTTCGAGGGCAGGTGGTGCGTGAGGAGGGCGGCGGTGAGGGAGGTCACCAGCGCGGCGGAGGAGCCTAGGCCGGTCTTGTGCGCCTCGCCGAGGGTGTGGGGGTACCGCGCGAAGCGGCCCTGTTGCTGACCGTCGGCGCCGGGGGTGGTGTCCGGGAGGGAGTAGTAGTCGTTGTCGGCGAGGATGATGAGGCGGGTGGATGTCAGGGCGTGGTTTGGGCGGCGCTTGCGGATGCTGGCGATGTAGGTGAGAGCGTAGGAGAGGGTGGTCTCAACGAAGGGGTTGGGGTTGATTTTGGAGCCGCTGGGATGGTGTTAGTGACTTTCAACTCTAGATGTGTGGGATATTGGTGAGGTTGGTTCATCGAGGCTGTCGTCTCACATGAGATCTCACATCTCGAAGTGAGAGATATTAGCCCCTCACCGCAACCACCGACCCCACCTCACCAACAACCATCACCACTTCACTTCAACATGTCAAACGTGACGAAACTTGATCCAAGCCGAAAGGGAAGCACGTAAAGAGAAGCAACTTACACCTGCAGCTGCGTGACGGTAATCCCCCCATCCTCAGGCGCGAGATGGAACCCGTACCGCCACGTCGCGTCGAGGAACTGCGGGCTCTCGACGACAATCTCCGTCAGGTGCACGCCGGGCGACGTGTGGATCTCGGCCGCGACGACATTCACCCTCGCGCTGAGCCCGAAAACGAGGCCCGTGTACGCCCGGTCGAGGACGAGATACCCGCCCGCGAGGAGCACCTTCCCGGGCGCCGAGACGGCGGTCGCGGTCGTGTCTGCTCCGGCCGTCATTTTTTTTTTCCTTCCTTTTTTGCGACCTTCCGTCTCTTGTTCCCCAACTGCTTAGTTAAGGTAGTCGCTCTGTTGACCGGTTGTTGTCTGTGAACTGTAGCCTTAGGTTGAAGGGCGGGCCTTCTCGTGTTACCTACTCTAGCGTAAACAAAATGTCTCGGGCAAACTGAGGAACTTCGTCTTATATAAGCTATCACTTAGAGAACCCTCTCTGTTCTCTATTATTTGTGATTACCTAAGACGCGCTTAGCTAGCTTACCTAAGGTATCCGTACTCTACCACAGAGACGACACGACGGAGACGGAGGACGGAGACGAATAACGACAGGGACGACAGAGACGACGATAACGACGATAGCGACGATAAGGCAGGGGCGTTTATTGTCTTTCCCGTGCTCGCTTAAGCTGTGCTGCAACCTGTCGCCTTCCCGAGTTGCTGTCCTCAAAGGAAGATGAGAGAGAAGAAAGAGCAAGATCGCCAATTGGAACAATCACAGCGGGAAAACCGCAGTGTATACCTTTTTGAAACTCCGGTCTGAAGTTGCAATCAGAGGAGGTCAAAGAGGAGGGTGAGTTGATGACGCAGTCGTGATGGAACCGTAAGGCAGAAGGTTTGGCCCAGCGTTGAGGGAGAAAAAGGCTGACGACCTGAGGTACGCATCGTGGGGGGGAAGAGACAGTGCTAAAATACAGTAGCATCCGTGTCCGCCAATTCTGCCGCCAGCACTCCTGCATGATTGGTATGGACCTTACCGTGCCTCTGTTTGCCGCGACTGTGTTTGCCCGCCCCAGAAGCTCCGGCCCCCAACGCCGAGGACGGGAGTGACCCCCATCCGTCCGTCCAATTGGACCGGGCGGCACCCCGACGGATTCGTTGTCGAGCTTCTACTGGATCAACTGAAGAATTCCAGCATGGCAGCGAACCAACACACACTATGCCTTTCTGCCAGATGTGCCTCCCCGATGCCCATAGCTGTCAGACCTGCTTCCGTCCAGGAGCTTGGGCCCGTTTCCTGTCTCTTCCGTGTGTTCTTGAAACATGCACGGCATGCCGGACGTCAGAGCTGCCTTTGCGGGCACGGATGGAAGCGGCGGCCGCCTACTTGACAGGCGCCCGGCCTCTTCGAAACGTCAAATCACGCATTCGTCTTCACTTTGAGTAAGGAACAAGCTTTGAACAGTTTGACATAATCTTCTTGGAATGCCAATGTCTGCCGATAATATACATACAGCAGGATCACACGCCCCTTTCTGTCATGGGCATGTCGTAATCTGACCTTCGTAGATACCGTTATCCGTGTCCTCCCGTCCGTCCGACCCGTCCTTGATCCCTCTATGCTGCAGTCGTCGCGCATTCTACCCGCGCGCACCCTTCTCTTTTTTATATGCTGAGTGGAGTAGTGTCTATCGTTTGTTGCGGGCCAATGGCCGTCATCGCTCGCTTTCCGAAAAAGCCCCTGTGATCGGGTGGCTCTGTCCCTTTGACCCTTTTGCTTCCGCAACGCCGTGGTAACCCGCCCCGAAACACGTCGGGGATGAATTCGACTCCCACACCCAAATTCAGACTCCTAAAAAACCAAGCACAATGTGACATAGGAAACGAAAATGGAAAGATGCCTCCGGCGCACTGCCGATTATCACAACCTAGCCGCCCATCCTACCCAGACACCCCGAACCCTCGGTCCACCGGCGTCAAAACACACAACGGGGTATCAAACAAAACGGTAGTTGAGGGCAATTACAAAGGAAATATGGTAATCTGAAAGGACACGCAGAGCTGCTGCTCAATGCGTGCTTCGATGAATTGACAAATGACGGTTGCGGTCGAGGAGGACCTTAGTTTTGGACGACAGCTTCCTCACCGCCGCCACCGCCGAGAAGCTCGAGCACCTTGTTGACAACGGCGCTGGGGTAGCCGCGGCAGAGCATCTCACCAACGACGCCCTTGGCCTTCTCGCGCTCCTCGACAGCGAGGAAGGCGCGGGTCATGGCCTCGTACGTGCTGGGTTCGCGCTTGTCGTGGACGACGGAGTCGTAGATGGACTGAGCCTTGTCGATGTTCTTCTCAGCAGCCCAGCCGTGGATCAGGGTGTTGGCAATGTACGGGGTCATCTCCACACCGCGGCGGCGCATCTGTCCGAGAACTGCCTCGGTGTCGGCAACCTTGTGGTTGGCAACCATGGCCTCGAATAGAGCCTGGAAGAGGCTGGCGTTGACGGAGACGGAACGGTCGGCCATGACGGAGTCGAACACCTTGCGGGCACCCTCCATGTCGTGGAGATTGCAGCCGCGGGCGTGGATCAAGGCGGCGAAGTGGACGGGCTCGGGCTTCTGGCCGGAAGCGCGGATGGCGTCGAGAACAGCCTCGGCCGCGGCCATGTCAACGGGCTCCAGTGTAGCGTGGGTGTCAACAAGCAGCTTGAAGGTGTGCGCGGTAGGCGCAATACCCTTGGTCTTCATGCGCTCGTAGTAGGCAAGGACCTTAGACTTGTCGCGCTTGGTGGTCAGGAAGAACTGCATCATGCTGTTGTAGGGAGCGGGGCGAGCCTTGTAGTTGGGCATGGCCTCCATCTCGTCGAACAGCTCCTCGGCAAACTTCTCATCGCTCACACGGCAGAGGGCGTTGACAATGGTTCCGTAGGTGACAGAGGTGGGCTTGATTCCAAGAGCGCGCATTTCAGCAAAGTAGAACAGGCAGTCGTCAATGCGGCGAGCCTTGCCCAACTTGCCAATCAGAGCGTTGTACAAGAAAGAGCTGGGCTCGACACCCTCGGCCTTGGCGCGGTGGAAGATCTTGACAGCCTCGGAAGCCTCGTCGAAAGTCTTGGCGGACTCCTTGAGGGTGGTGATGTACAGACCGAAAGTGTTGGCAGAGGGGGCAGCACCCATGGCGAGCAGCTCCTGGTGGTACTGCTCGGCCATCTGGCGGTTGCCCATCGTCAGGCAAGCACCAACCATAGCGTCCAGGATGGAAGACCAGCCGTAGCGAACGACAGCGTACTGGGGCAGGAGAGGAACGTCGGTGCGGGCCATGGCGAGGATATCGTTGCACAGCTCCATCTTGCTGTCACGTGCGGCGGCGGAGATCAACTTGGCGTAGGTGATGTAGCGGGGGTGACGGCCAGCACGGCGCATGTTGCGGAACCGGGTGAGAGCATCATGGAGCCTGGGACCCTTGCGACCGTGCGCGCCCTCCAGTTCATCAGAGATAAGCGAAGAGCCCTTGAAGTCGGTGTTGTGCGCATACGGGTCGAACGAATCCTCGAAGCTGGAGACAGTGGCGGTGGATGCGAAGGGAGAAGCGGAGTTAACCTGGGAAGCGATCTCACGAGGGTCCGCGATACCGCGGCTGGTCATGAATCGGTGGATAAAATCAACACCCTCCTCGACCTCGTCAGCGTGCTCCGGGCTAACTGCGCGAATTCTCTGGAACATCATCTCCGATTGAGACAGACCCTCAGCGACCTGGCCGGAGCCAATCATTGCGATGGCAAACATGGCGGTGGGCTCGATAAGGGCGGCGGTGACAGGGGTCTCAGGATTGCACAGGATGCCCCAGTAGCGGGCCGCAGAAGCGACATCGCCCTCACGAACGCTGAGAGCCAAAAGTGCCATGGCGGGGGTGGCGACGGGCTGGAAGTTGATGGGCAGGTTGGCAAACGCCGCAATGGCAGTGAGCTTGTCACCGACGTCAGCAGCGCGGGTTGCCAGATTGCTCATCGGCTCAGCTCTCACTTCGGCCTCGACAACCTGAGCCCAGCGAAGGGCCTCGTTGAAGATGCCACGCTCAGTGAAGGCTTTGACGAAACCAGAGCTGACAATGGCATCCTTGATGTCACCAGCGCGAACCTCGTACTCTGTGATGATCTTCTCGTAGAACTTCATGGCGCCCTCGACCTTGTCGGAAATGATGTAGGCGTGAATTACTGCGGCGTAAACCTCGGCGTCGAGTCTGTCGTTGAGAGAGGGCTCGCCCTTGTCGTTAGCAATGGCGAGGTCCTTGTACTCATTGTAGCACTCGACAGCGCTGACCAGGTCACCGGCATTGGCGAATGCGGTGATCATGGCGGGGAACATGGCAGCAAAAGGAGTGACGCGGTTCAGCTCCATGTGCTCGTACAGGCGGAGCATGTCATCGACACGTCCGGCCTGAGCACAGGCAGAGATCAGCTGGTGGTAAGACTCAGCCGAGTAGGACGCCCTCTGGGTGAGGACGGACTTCTCAAACATCTCCATAGCAAGACCCAGCCTGTCGTCCTCAGAAAGGATGGCATGCTCGAGCTCGTGGGATGCAAACATGAACTTGCCAGGCTCGTCCATGCCACCAAAACGAACGCGCTTCTCGTCGAGGGATTTCTTCAGAGCAGCGACCTCGAGAGAACGGGCCGCGAGAAGGCCGACCAAGATGTTGTAAGTGTCGCTGTCGGGAACCACCTTGCGGCGGAGCATATCAGCGTACACGTCCAATGCCTTGGAAACCATCTCATTCTTGGCGTTGGGCAGGTGAATGGCGGCCATCAACAGGGCGTTGTAGGCACTGGCAATAGGGGGCACGCCGGCGACCAGCATGGCCTCGAAGACGGCCGGGATCTCAGAGTAGCGGCCATCCTCGGAGAGGTGGTGCAAGTGGTCGGCGTAAACCTGAGATTGCGGGTGCACGGGAGGGGTAGCGGTGCGGATGCTGAACGGTGTCCTCGAGGGGTCGACGGCCGGGGAGTGGTATGAGCGGATGGCGGGAGAGGCTGATCGGACGGAGTGCTCGGAAGCCTCTTCCAAAGCCTCCAAGCGGTTCCTGTGTTCGATCTCTCTCTCTAGTGCCGCATCAATCTCAGCCAGGGCGGCCTGAGCCTCTGGTGGAATGTCGGATAGTGCCTCTGCATCCTCGGCAGCGTCCTCGATATCGAGGGCCTTGGGCTCAGCGGCAAGAACAGCCTCTGGCTCGGGCTTCCATTCAATCTGCCTCTGGAACTGGAACTGGCTCCATTCCTTCTCGAGATCCTCCTCGGAGGCCTGCTCCTGCTGTTTCTGCAGGGCCTCAAAGTACGCGTCTAAGCTTCCATGCTGGCTGGTGAGCTTCTCGTGGCGATGCTCGGGAAGACCGGTGGTTGTCCGCTCGTGGTGGAAGGCGGACTGGAGCTGGAAAGACTGAAGACGACCGAAGCGGTTGGTGTTCCGGCGGGCGAATGAGGGCCGGTTCTGGGTGTTGAGGATGGGATGTGTGGCAGCTACGACGGACTGGGCGTAGCCGTTTGTGAAAGATTTCGCGAATCCTTGACGGATGAAACTCTGGTAGAGGGAGGAGTAGATGGTGGGCATTTAGAACTCGCGGGGAAGGGGGGGATTCTGTGGTTGGATTGTCAGTCGCAATTGTCTGGAGATGCAGGATCGACAAGAAAATTGAGGAGCAGCAGCCAACGAGAAAAAAAGATTTGCGCGGTGCATTGCGGTGTTCAGACGAAATTTCCGAGGCTGGACTGCCGTGTTTGTTTCGCCACGGCAAAATCCCGGACGAGGGGCGGCGAGTCACCAACCGTCGGTACAATTTTGCAGCGTCGGGAAGGTGATCTCGTGAGAGAGCAGCAGCTGGGAGTAATACAACTTACATGGGGGAAAATGTGAATAGTCCGTTGCAGGTTCATTTGACAGCACTGTAGCCGTCAAACAAACGCGCGAATCTGATTAAAGAAGGGGGTATAATTGGGATTGGAGGGAGGAAAGAGGAACAGAAGCTGGAAGTGAGAGCGAGGGGGGCGAACTAGAAGTATTAGAGATGCCGGTAGATTTTCAGAGTGACTGAGTGTGAGTGGCAGTCGCAGTGGGAGGAAAAGGCGAGCAGCGGAGCTAAGCTAGGGACTAGAAAGGTGGGAATTTGGCACGCTGGAGCGGGAGCTTTGTGAGATCGGACGGAGTCAATGAGACGTACAGCCGAGTACCTACGGGCCACGGGGGACCCACGGCTCCTGCCATTGCCATTGCCATCCATGGACCGTAATGCATGGCCCGCCTCAGTGTCCCGCCTCTTCACTTTGGTTCAGCAGTCTTCTGCCAGTGGAGATCCACGCCTTTCTGGGACCGTCTTTTTTTCTTGCAGTCTCCTCCGCTGGAAGGAATGGGGAATGCGACAGAAGGGCACAGCTACGGGCGCGCTAGACCGGGGCATGAGGGTTTTGGAGGCAGGGCATGGGTGTTGCTGCAAGTGACGTTCACACTCATTTTCACATTATTATTTACTCAGTGTTTGCGCAGTAGACTTTCAAATATTGTGTGTTCTCTGTCGAATACAGATACAGCGAGCGACCCGAAGCAACGCCTCCACTGAAAGATTCAATACCGTGACGGACTTAGGTCTCCGTTCGCGTGGACTCGGAGCTCTCTCGCTGAGTGACGGCAACAGGGTGGATTCGGGAACTTTAAAATTACTAAATGGAAGCGCGTTTTGGTCCCTGTTTTCCGATTTCCTCTCTGGCGCCGATACTTGGTGCGTGGTACTTGCCTGCCAGACCAAGGCGAGCGGGTTTAATGACTCAGGCACCAAACCCCGACGCCGTTGGTGCCTTGATCCGCGGCGTGTGAGTGGCTCAGTCCCTCTAGCCTCAGTGGCTCTCACCCGCGAGCTCCCTGTCGTTCTTGGTGTCCCAAAAGCAACGATTAATTGGAATGGATCTCGACTCCAAGCCTGAGATGGGGGGCAACGACGCTCAAACGCCGGAATACTGAGGCAAAACTCGAGAAAACAACAGGTGGCCTTGACGCCTCGCAGTTCCGATATTTGCCTTGCTCGACACCCTTTGTCGCAGGCCGCACGGCATCAAGCTGACAGGTGACGACGTGGAGAGAACGGACGAATACCTCCCAGAGACCGGACGGATGCTTCAGCAACGTCCGGCACCGAGTCCACGAAGGTACTGCCATGGTCTGCGTGTCATCATCCACTGCTGCCTTTCGCCCGCCAACGCGAAATGGCTCACGGCTAGCGGTACTCATGCGCGCAGACCGTAACGGCGGGGGAGAGGTACTCCGCGGTACTCGACATACGACAAGATACCTCGCCCACAACTTCTACAGGTCTCCTCCAAGTCCCTTTACTAGATGACGACTCCCTGGTGACGCCTAAGGACGCGAGATTGATCATCACTGCAGGCTAAGCCAAGCCCGCTGGAACGTCAACACCCTCTCAAAAACACGGGGAAATTTGGGGGTTCATGGTGAAGGGGGGCTGCCTCCCAGCGACGTCCCAGCACTCTTACAAGTTACGAACCCAGCCGACTACCAAAACGGGCCTGATGACTCTTTGACGGTTGCCCTGTGGCCCCCTGCCAGCGAGAAGAAACCGGCACCAATGTGCTGGAATGGCGGGGGAAGCCAGTCAGGGACTCAGAGGGCTGGCTGACGAAGGGCGAAGGCCGTGGACACGAATAGATGTCGGTGTCCATGACCAATCACGGGCGCCTCAATGCTGGGAGAAGCCGGAAGGAACGGGAGGGTCGGAGACTGGGGAGCCACAGTGCACCAGGGGCAGGTGCAGGACTCAAAGGGAGCCCGTCCTGTCGGGAAGCAGCCTCCAGCCCCACCTTCCATCTCCGTTTCCACCAGTGGCTGCAACTGCATCTTGGCCCGTTACTTCCCCGCTGGTAGCCTCCGCTAACGACCAAGTCGCGCCTGCTCATTGGTGATTCACCACCAGAAACCAATCACTCAAGACGCAAATTTTTCACCTCGAGCAACCCCTCAACCTCATGCGCATGAACGAACTTACGGAGCGGACCTCAAGCTCAGCTCCCGCTGCAACCACACATACTACGTATGCAGTACACACGCAGCATCGATGCCGTCTTGACACAACGGTGAGGTTCGGAGGCATATCTCGGCGCTATCTTGTCTCGATATTGAATGGAGGGATGTCGCCAACGACTGGCTGATATCAAGCATCACGGCTCTGAGACCTGCGAGATCTCAACTCGATGGAGAGACAATCTCGTTGACCAAACAAACACGTCCATGGCCGTGCCCTCTCGCGCCCTCTCGCGCCCAGCCGCAGATCAGCATGCACGTCTTCAGAATCGAGGCCGGGTAGTCACCGTCACCGCCCCGCGAGCAGCACGCGCAGAAAAGAAACAACACATCAACACCGCCAGTTCAACCCTCGTCGACGTCCCTGCCGGCCCCATCTATACCATCGCTCACCTATCCAAAACGGGCCAAAACAGCAAACACTCAATCCCACGCTCACCCGCCTGCCCTGTCCCTTGCGTCCGCCGACGAATGGCAGCGCGCCCAAAACTGCCAGTGTAATCTGCCCCAACAGACCCTGACCTGTCCGTAATCATTACCATCTGGAATCTCACACATGGCACGGAGATGGCGATGCGATCTCCATTGACCTAATATTGGTACCGATTGGTACTTGTTAAAGTGGCAGCGGGAGCCAAATTGAATCAGGGCTTACAGCCGTCTGGCACGCGAGTCTGGCACCTTGCTGATGGAGCCTGGGAGTTCTGCCCACGACAAATGATCCTCGAGGGGTTGCACGTCGTGCCCTAACAGACGTGACGTGCTGAGACATTGGCCAACATGCCTCCTCCACAATTTCGCAATTGAGCACCGGCCAGCGATCCCTAGCTCTGGCAGATCGCGCCAACATTTCCCGTAATTCGTGGGGGCTCGTTCACGACTTTCAGGTCACGCGGCCATCCATTCACGAAAAAGAGCCGCCATGTGTTGCGGCACGGCACACACAGCCTAGGAGCCCACCGGTTCCCAAAAAACAGGATCTAGTCCAGGCACCGCTTCGCCGCAGGCATGGATGTCCATGAGTGGTGATGCGGATGCTCAAACTGCGAGAGCCACGTTCTCGTTACCTCGGAGGACGGGCATCTGGTTGCGCCGTCTTACATCCGGCCGCCGGACATGAGAACTTATCCCCGTGGCCTTGCCATGTGACCCTCAATATGCCGACGCCGACGGCCCAATGCCGCTACCCGGCCCTCTGACTGCTCCGACCAGATCTGGATGCTGCCGCAGGAAGTCCATCATCCCAATCACCAGCCCTGGGCTCGTTCCCGGATTATTCAGCCACTAATGCGCTGTAACCTGCGCCCATCCGCCCCAGAGCCAAGACTGGCACACTGGCGAGCGCTCCGCCTGTCACCGAGATACATCGGCTCGGGTCTCGGTGAGAGTGGGTTGGTTGGAACTTGTGGAGGATCGACAGCATCCCCGGGCCTGCAACCTCGCATGGGGCTCAGCTTACGTGACACCCGCAAGCGCGCAAGTCCCTTTGACGACCCCTTCGATCCTGCGCATCATTGCGCAGCATTACCCTCGCCTCATGTTTGCATGTTTGACATGTTTGCTTCCTCGGCGGCGGAGGTGGGGATCGGGGACCTTCGGGTACAGGCTGCAAGGCAGCAGCCATGGCACATGGCTGTGCAGTTTCACAAATCACGAGGCTGACAATGACGATGGTTGCTGAGGCAGCTCAGCGGCATGTGAGTACTTCCAGATCAGGGTGCACGCGTCACACAGACTCCAAGGGGCACAGATGTCAGAAGCATTGCAATGAAAGAAGGTCACAGGCATGGCAGCGGAAGAAGTGAGGGTAAAGATAATTTTACTGTATCTGTCTTTGGGCCTTTTTGGCACCATTCTCTCTCTTCCTCTGGACAAACATCCTCAGCTCGCAAGCTTCTCTGCAGTCAACACTGCGTACCAAGTGGTATCGTACTGATAATCTCAAAAAAGTGACAAAGCAAATCAAGAGCGAACCGACTGTCGTCGTCGCTGCAGTAGTTTTTCCCCGCTCCAATAACGCCGTCGCTGAAGTAATTGTTCCCAAAAGGCATCATAGTGCCGGACGCTCGCTCTCGCTAATAGTTGACGCTCATAAAATAGACGTTGTCGATCACCGTCCTGGGTGTAACAACCCGTGGCAAGTTGCCATTGCAATCGCTAGTGTATATATTGTTGTGTGTGTTTTGTTGTTTTGCAGGTTGAGCAGATCAATCATCTGCTGTAGGAGCTGCCGAGGGTGGAGATGGAGGCGCTGGACATGCCGGACTGGATGGAGAACATTGGTCTGGCGGGGTAGTCGGAGTCGAAGTCGGCGATGCCGATGCGGCTCGCGACGGCTTGTTCCTTGAGCATGGCAATTCTGGAGAGGTTGTTAGTATCTTTGCTATGATGGTATTGATTGAGGTGTGTAGACTTACTCATCTGCGCTGATGCCCGCGAGTTCGAGATTGCACTTCTTGAAGTCGAAGGGGGCGGAAATGTCCACACCCCTGGGCTTGGCCTCCTTCCTGCTGCGGCGAATGACC